TTCGGCTTTGCTCATGCTTTAATTCCGTGCCTATGCCTTGTATCCACATAGGGCTCGCCGGCCCATCTGCACCTAAGATATCTGCTACTGACGCGTCTAACAAGGTGACTGTACTCCCATCGTCTAACAAAGCATATGTGTCTACACTTGTATGTGGTCCGCTTAACGTGACAGGTACTATCTTTAAATACGCGCGGCGATTCCGAGGCGTAGTCGTTGATACATTTTCCCGCGCCGACGTGACGGTTTCGTGTGTGATAACAGCAGGCGTCGGCGACGCCGCCGGCGGCGTCGCGACCTTGTGTGACGCCTCAACTTTACGCTCTTTGTGCAACAGTTTGTGATGTTTCATGTTGCATTCCTTTACGTCACAAATAGGCGCTTTACACGTAAACCTTCTATGTCTGTTTCGTAGGCATCTAAAACACATGTTCGAGTTTTTAGCTATATCCCATCGAGTATCAATGTCTAGCTGTTTATATTTACTGCAGTCGGGTAATTTGTGGCCGTGTTGCTTGCATGCCGGGCATTGGTCATTCGGTGTTTCCTTATTTACGTTGAACGTGCGCTCGACTCTGCGCCGCTGTCGTACATCACTGGACTCGTCGTTCCCGCGTTCTGGCTGAGCATACGCGCCACACTTGTCTGCTTCTTCATTCATGAACATAGATAATAGCTTTAATACGGGTATATCTTCACTTTTCTTACTAGACGCGTAATCATAAAATTTGTTTTTTAATATTGGCGTCAACTTCTCAACGATACAACGCGACATTTCAGGGCTATGTAAATATTGATTTCTATTTAGTGCTTCTACCGTACCCACCGTGTTTGCAATACGGCTAGCAAAAATACAAATGTCTCTAGGGTTATCATTTAATTTAGGTAACGATTTTACATTTTCTAACTCGGTCATTATCAAGGCCTCGGGTCTACCGAAACGTCTTTCTAGTGCGTCTAGAATGACCTGGGGGTTAGATTGACTAAACAATAGACAACCTACAGCTTCCTTTGCGGCGCCTCTGAGGCTCATCCTAATCCTAGCAACATTTTCTACATATGAAAAATACGTGTGTGAGTCACAATACGCGGCCTTATAAGCTATCCACTCACCGGGTTTTCCGTCGAAGATCGGTAGCTGCTGGACGTACCTCGGGGGCTCTCTTGAGCTGCGCGCGACCTGCGCTAGGGCCGCGGCCAGTGTCCCTACGTCTATCACTTTATCACTACCGCGCAACACTTCACTCGCGAGATTGCCCTTTGATTTCGCACACACACTTTCTCCGTAGCCGTCGCCGTCTCGCAGCGGCCGAGCGCCCGTCGCGGCGCCGCCGGTGTCCGTCGCTGCGTCTCTGCCGTTCTTCCCGTCGCTGGCGTCGTGTGGCGGCGGCCGAGTCTCACCTCCGGGTGGCGGCGCCGGTCGCGCGAGCCACGTTCCAATCCTCACGGAGGCAAGATCGTCTTCCAAGTCTTCGTCTTCACTCGACTCAGCTTCGGTTCTAATGCGCTGCAGCTGTATTTCCTGCAGCTCTCTCTCTGCCTGCGCTTGCTTGACTTTCATTTCAGCCAGCCGTTCTCTGGCCTCCAGCTCTGCGAGGCGCTTCTTTTTCGAAGATGTGGAACGGTGTGACCTGGTTTCGACAGGCTTGAGCGTACCATGTGTTCGCGTGGTGTCGGTGTTGGTAGTCGTCGTAGAGCCGCTGCCTGTGCCTGACACGCCGACCGAGCTCGATTCTGGTGCCGAGCTGCTGGCACCCGGTCCGGCGGTCACTGAGGGCTCTTCTTGGGTCTGTTCTCTTCTTGAGTCACCACTTTGGCTACGTGTTAACACCATCTTGCTAGTGATTATCCGGCTCGAAGGACCAGATTGTGTGGCGAATGGACTGTATAAATATTATAAATTGAGACTCGATAGCTTGATTATGGATTTTTAATTAATTTACAAACTTTTACTCAAAAGATAAGAAATTTTAGAGTTTTTTATACGTAACAAGGTGGTGACACTTTTAAACCCAAAACTGTTTGACTGACTGACGATGCGCATCGCCATGGTCTGGCGTTTTATAGACGCTGACATGCGGGGGGCGTGGTTTGGCCAATGGCGATGCGTGGAGCGACCGAGCCGCGAGAACGTGTTTGTACTTGTCTGGGCTCGTGGCTCCGCGGCTCCGTTGCCCTACTACTAACGGGTTTATAGTCGTTTTGAACAGGTTTAAACCAAACAAAGACAGGTAAGTAACGGCGTGCGGCGCCGCTACGTCTGTGTTATGATTCCGTGGCGCGGTGGCGCGCCGCTCTGGCTACGTAATGATTCTGTCGTGCACAATCCTATTTCGATTCTATTAGATCCTAGTTCGGAGGGAGATACTGTAGAATATAAAACATATTATTCGATTCGGAACAGTAATTTCGGAGATTAGCGCGTTTAAGAAAACGAACAAACAACAGCATTATAATATAAGTATAGATTTCTTATTTTCTGCTAATAATACATCGACGAGCTGAACTATTTGTTACCTACCTATATGTATTTGTTACCTACCTGAGGTAGGCTACCATTATTAAACAACTAGGAACCTAGGTTATTTATAATAACAACATTATTTTGATGTATAGTTACCGGTAACAAAACATTTTATTTATATATTTACCTTATTACTTTCCTCTCCGAGATTACGATATTTTGTTTGATTAAAGTAATTCCTAACTGTTTAAAAAAATAAGTAATATTTTTGTTCTAAGCCCAGTCGTAAATTATGGTAAGATTCTCACAATGTGAAAGATGGTTGACCGAACTTACGAAAAATCTTTATTCGAGTAACTTTTCACATTGACATTTTAAGTCAACATTGAAAAATAGCTGCAATTGCATGAAAGAGAGGTTTATATTGCTTATGTGCTTTGCCCACATGTAACAAGGCAGATATAAAATTAATTTTCATCATAATTATATCTTTCAGTGAGTTTTTCCTCTCATGTTACATTTACTTTGCTCTGCAGTTCCGCATAGAGACAAATTCATTTAATAGCGTTTTTTATTTAACCTTTTTTTTATTAAGGTATTAAAATAAAATAGCAAATAAGAAACATTTCGACGATATGGAAGTTTTGCAAATAAATTAGAGAATTACTTACAATAAGTAGGTAACGTACGCGGCCACGTGAAAACATTTCTGATAGAGAATAACTTGTGGCCTTAATTGTAACGACGAAGAACGTGTTATAGGAAACTAAAAGATCAATTGTAAGAAGTACAAAAGAAAAGGCCGCTGAGCTCCCTCGAGCGTTGACCTCGCCATACGCAGAAGATAGATTTATTATTTAAATTAATTTAAAATTATGTGTCCATGTCAAAAAAGTATTTGTTATTATTAACAGATATCAACCTTTGAGAAGTGTCTCAAAATATTTTTACATACATTATATGTATTATTGTTTGTGTACCGATTCGGTTTATGTTAATATTCACTATGTAGTTGTCATAGAAAAACTGTATATTGAAATGTTTGTTTGTTGTTGCATTTCAACTATTCTGAGTACAACAGAGTTGCATGAGAATATTTCTGCTAACTACTGTTAAATAGAGGTGGTATAATAAGCCTCTATCAGATTATTTTTGTGTATTCTATGAAGTATTAACAAGCCCCGCTACATTCTGTCGTAGGATATAAATAAGAATCAGAGAGAAGCTTTTTCTCCGCATTAACTGCACCGCCCAACTCTACCGCACCAACTGTGCTTGAATTATTAAAATTTGTAATTTATTTTTTAGCAGCATACAAGCCGTCCCCGAACCTGATGGGTCTTCAGCTTAGGCGTTGCACGCAACTTGAGGATTCGGATAATTGGGGCATAGGTCTGAGGGTCGGCGAGGATTAGGACTTCACATACGACAACATAAGTGTTGTTAACACCACCAATTACAGGAAATGCTAAATTATCGAATGAAAATAAGATTCTTAGCTACATAAGTGTTATGCTGATAACACCAGCTAGTAAAAATAGTAAACAAAATTGGCCCGTTTATTTGCAAGTAGGACTTGTGCTTGGACTATATTTTTGTTTGCATTGTATAGTTTGTGCCTGGTGTTGTACCGAATAAATGATTTTTCTTTCTTTCTTTCTTTCTTTCTTTGTGCACGAAGGGTTATATATAAAAATTAATTCATTATAACAATAGGAGCCCTTAAATATTTATTCATTTTGTGTTTAACATTATTTTGTTGTTACAACGGCAACAGTAAAACATCATCTGTTCAAATGCCAATTTCCTGTTTTTATCGTGATCATCTGTTTTGCTTAGTACGCTTACAAGGAACAATATGAACCATGTAGTTAAAAAACGTTAATTAGGTAGGTAATGCATTGTGTTTGCTTTGGTAAACGAGTATATGTGTTTAAATATTTGATTTCAATACAGACACTAAATAAATAAAATTATTGATCAAATTATGATTTTGCGATTGAACTAAGTAGTTGTTATTATTATAGGTAGGTATTATAGGTTTGATGTTCACGTTATTTTGTTTGCATTGTTGTTATGGCAACTAAAACCGGCGCCTAACATCAATTTAATAATTTATTCTGAGATTTAAGATTAAGATTATCTGAGATTTAGATTTTTCGACATGTTTTTCGCTATCACCAATGCAGCAGCACTTGGATGATGCATTTGGTATATCTATTACCTAACTTTTAGTCGGTGGGTGACAGTTCTATAAAGTTTCTGATAATAGATCGTGTGATGATAAAGCTAGAGAGTTATGTAGATAGATTCAATAAGTGAAGATGAATAAACACAAACATGTTATTACCGCTAGCACTTGTTTTATGAACATATTATAAGAAATCGAGCTGAAAATTACAAAAAACGTAAGAAAAATAAAATTTCGCGGTCTAATTTAAATCAAAACTATGGATAAAAACTCATAGCAATTAAATACAAGTTGTAAATAGGTGGGAGTGAATGATGAGTTGTGAGGCTGATGCTCAATACTCACGGGTGCAGGTCATAAGGGTGGTAGTGCTGCGCGGGCGGCTGCAGCTCGTGCAGCGGCAGGTAGAACTCGTGCACTCGCGTGTACTCGCGCGCCATGCCGCGGCCGCGTGACGCGCGACACACGCGACCACTCCGCGCGACGATGTCACACCCGACTGCTGACTAGCGACTAGCGGCGATACCGCGCCACCGAGACACGCACTAGCCAAGCGACGCGCTCCGCTCGGGATTTCACCCTAACAGACGTACTACCTTCCACAACCTGCCTTTCCGACTACCCCGAACTTAACATCTCACCCATAACTCATTTTTGTTTATGAAACCTACTTCAAATTGGGCTTATAGCTTTCTCAGGCATCAACTAGACCACGGTGTTAACACTAGTCGAGAACCTTACAGATTATATTGACAATAAATAACCTGTGAAAGCACTCCGCCCGCCTACTTGTTCGTAACGCTTACGTCAGTGGGGCGTAACTATACCTAACCCACCCAAAAGTTAAGAAATCTTTACAACAATGCTTGTTTTTTTGTTTTTTTACTGAATTAACGTTTAATGAGTAGTGTAAGACTGAGAGCGCTGTTCACGAAGTTATTAAGGGTTCGAATAGCGCGGGTGGAAAATGCATCTAGTCGGCGTTGCAGAGGGCAGGCGCGGGGCCCTCGATCCGCTCTACCGGCGGCTCCTAACACACTAACGCGATACGGTCACTGTATAATCCTCTCTGGAGCCCAGATTACAGTCTATCTCCATTCACTGCCAACAAATTCACTGACTCTTCAAAGCAAGTACCGGTGTTTTACTTGAATTTAAGTCAACACGCATTAACGTTAATTAAGATTTTGTAAAATCTGGCAAACGCAAGTTACGTTAACTTTTGGCACTTGGCTAACTTCACACACAAAACACTAAGATCATGTGAATCGTTTGATAAAACTAGAATGAATTGTGTCGAAGGGAAAGAGAAGCGCGCGCGATATCACTTCCTACAAACTAGCAGGCAATAATATAATGCTGCACTCGTAGCGCAATCACGAACGGCTAAAAGTGCATCGCGATGACGCAGCGTGCCCCTGAACCTGCCCTTCACAACCGACCACTGCCTGATGCCAGCCTACATCGATAGAATTCAAGTGCAGCTAATCCAGTGCGCGGCCGCTACAGAAACGTACCCACTTGTCTAAAATCTAACAAGTAATGGATATGTAGTACGGAGACGTTGCAATCACAACACGTCTAGTAGTTGGCTTACACGTGCCGCCTGCAACTAGTAAACGTAACGTAATATTATGCAACTGAACAAAACGCACTGACTCTTATATGCATAGGGAGGTGGAGCGAGGTGCGGAGGTATTAGTAAGATCGCGTGATGACATTGTTAGCGGCACGCGGCGTTACTCTGCTGGGCAGCGCTTGCTTTACATACATGTACATACATTACAATCATTCACAGATTTTGCATCGACTATGTTATCGGTACGTACTCAGGTACCTACATAAACAATCTAATCTTGTAACAGCACTAATCAACTAAATTTATAAAAAAAATTGTAACCACCTTTACAGCAAGAAGAACTCTGTTCTCTGTGTTAGGACTCGTGGAACTGAATTCTTTCGACGAATTGAATTGAGGGTTTGATTGAAATTGCATTGCAAATTTCTGCAGAGATTCCAAAGCAATTTTAAATGGCAATTTTGTGATGTATATCAGTAGCTGATCTAATACCTTTTTATTTTTATTTTATTTTACTTTATTGGGACATAAAACAGTTACACATTACAATTATGGTATTACAGAATACATTTATAGAAAGCAAATCACACCTTGAAGAAAACAACACAGCTGTGGCTGCGGCGCACGCGCATGCAATGATTAAAAATATAAAGTGTGAGTCTTGTTACCTGAACTATAGACAAGAACCGGATTTCGTTATCAATTTACTCTTAAGTGGTAATTAATCAATTCCATCAACGGTAGAGATAACAATGCAACTAGAAGGTACTCGTTCATTTTGTCGCTATTTATTTCCGAAACAAATATCTAACAATAGGACATCTTTGAATTAATTAATTATGGTCATAGAGAATAGAATGAAATAAACTGAAGAAGAAAACTTTTTTAAGATAACTCTTTTAGCCACGGTGGGGTGAGATGGAGTGTTAGACTGTCTGACTAAAAACCACCCCAAATATTTGCCTGCTCATGTCTGGGGTCGCGGTTCGTTATTGCGCTTACTCTTTTTGAAGCTATCAGGTGTTTCTTCCATCATAAACCTAACATCCTGAGATCATAACAACACACAATAATATAAGTAAAGATAGAACAAACATATGGCTAAAAGTTATGAATGCGATGTTTATCATCATTATTTTGACGTGGCTACAAGAGTAACATTGCATTTAAAATGCCCAAATAAAACAATTTGAAAAATCAAGGGATTTCCACGCTGTATTCCAATGTAATATTTTATAAGGATAATACCAAAAATTGTAGGTATGAAGGTAGTTATAAATATTTGACACTACCACCTTACCAACCTATCACAAGCGGCCCTTGTGGAAAATTCTGCCGCGATAGCCCTCATTGTGAATTGTGAACCTACGCAGCACCTGCCACCCGACCTGCGCCATTTTCGCAAACCAATTACGAGTTAACACCGAATTACTGTTACCTTCGGACTGTATCGGATTAACTCTAGGGCTTCGGAATAATAAAATCGACGGACATCGATAATATTGTTGTGCGCACATTGTTACGGAAATAATATATTTATATACCTACAGTACTATGCCGAACAACAATATTAGTTTAACCTAAACCTAACATGACCTTGGATACATTCAAAATGACGACATTTTCTATATATATTATTTTTTATTTGAAATTCATTCGATATGTTCCAGAAAATTATGTAACTTATGAAAAAGAGCTTAAAAATGGTAATATACCTACACATTATTTATTAACTTCACAGGTATATCTTTGGTAGCACAAACATTCAAGCTAAATCATAGTAGCTATTGATGAGAATAGTGGTTTAAAACAGACAAAATGGCATAACTACATACAACGAGGCAGGCCATAAATAGAGCCAGAAAATGAGGGCTAATAGAGCAAAAATATTTTTTTGTAGAATAAATAAGCAACAACTGTTTTATACTACGCAAGTCTCGGAAAACTAATCGTCCAGCATGTGTCGGACATCGAAGCAATCTTGTCGGACATCCAACACCGACACCCCTCACCTCGCCTCGAGCGATTGGGTTGCCAATACAATATTCTCAATTTTCTTCAATTACACTGAATGTAATAGATTTTTATGTAAGCAAAAATAATATGGATTCGTTAGTTTCTGTTACCTAAACTTATCAATATAATTTTGAGAAAAAAGAAACCAATTGTTTTTCACAATTAATTATGAATAATATTTTCGGAAATTTGTAACAAGTGTAAGTTAATATACCTAAGTATTTTTAATTTGGTAGAGCTTAACCGCCATGCCTCGGCTACCACATCTAATCGTTGATCTATATCCGTTTACATAGAAAAATTTATGACAATAGTTTTATCTAGTTAGATGTTTAAAAAAAAATATTGCAAATCGGTCCAGGCGTCTTCGAGTAATCGGTGTACATACATAAAAAAAAACGCGTCGAATTGAGAACCTCCTCCTTTTTTGAAGGGATTGATGGCAATCGAACTACAATCAGAAGGGGTACTGGTATAATATAAGAAAGGCTATGAAAAAGCGATCATTTTTCGTATATCTAAACGAGCTGGTGAAGTAGCAAAAATTTTACACTAGGCATGTTTTACAAAAAGAAAGTCGTATAGCGCTAACTTGAACAAAGACTTATTTTTTGCCATTATTGTTCGGAAGGTTCTTTTTAACATAGTTTTATTTTGGAATGAAATTATGGTCTACCTGTAATCTAAATTTAATTTTATCAGACTTCATTTATTGATCTTGACTTTGGTCTTGTTGTTATTATTTTTTTAATGTTAATACACTTGGCTTTGTCTAAGTGCAACTTTTTGCCTGCACTGAATGTATAATTATTAATTTTATTATTAAACCTGATTATGTAGGTACCTACTCGACTTTTAACGTGGGTTGCTTAGCTAATAACGTGGTACCTATAAAGGGTAAAGCGGTAGGCCCTGCGCCACACCGCAATGTTGTGCGATCCTAGTTCAACATCCGGCCTTAGTCGGCTCGACTCGTGTCCTGTATACACAGTCAGACAAACAGTACAGCAAACTCGAAGTAAACCAAAACAATTAGTTATTTACCACACCATACCAGTTACCATAGTACGAGTTATTGACTAAATGCGAAGACCGAAAATAATAACCAAACCTTATCCAAAATCTAAGACATTGCCTAAATGTCAAAAGTTATATCATTTACTTCAATTTTGACTATTTCAGTCAGTTTTGAACGTCAAACGTACGCGTACGTGTATATTCCAATGGAGAACAACGATCAAGAAACTCCACTCCATCCTAATCACAATTGTAGCCTAATTAAAAACAGGTACAATATGGAAATTCTAATAACCGTGGATCCCGCAGTAGATAACGTACTAAGCACACATAAATACACAGTAATGAAGAGTTTGTTTACATTGATACGCATTTCGCCGGCAGTCAGTAACGAAAACAAAGTATACCTGTTGCGTCTGCAGGTGACACCACCCCGCGATACACTCACCCTAACACCAACCCAGTGGCGGACCGCGGGTATCGGCCGCCCGGTGCGGGAAGACACTTTTGCCGCCCTCCTATTTAGGTATTTAAATTAACATTAAATACAATAATTCTGTGTAAAAGTTGAATGCATGACGGTGCATATGTTCTTCCCTTCCTTTCTTTAAACTTCCTTCTGAATGTCTGATCAATTATAATGAGCAGAGAAATCTACTTATAAGTAGTACTTACGAACTTGCAGGTAACGATTTCTATTTTGTAGTGCAAAAAAAATTGCTTTGGTACGAACTCAATGCCTCCATGGCACATTTCGAATGTCATTTTCAAACTTACCTAAATGAAAAAAATCTAATAACCAACCAACTCTCCCAAAAAAACCTACTTAACCATTTCTGGAACCAATCAATAAAGAATTATTATAAAATATTAATCAATTCTGTTAGAGAATGTTCTTGATTTGAATTTTGAAATAGAACACAACCACGGGCTGTATACTTAATAGGTTTTAGGAAGCTTCTTTGAAGATACTAATTAATTGTAAAACGGTTGATATTTAAAATCTATATCATCACCTAGTCTTAAAATGTGCTTATTAGAAGGACGATAACACAGCAAAAAGCACAGAATAATAGAAGTTGTGAGTATAGTACAACATTAATGTAGCGCAGAAACGTATTACGCAGTGAGGTAATCAGGTAGGAGACA